CGGTCAGGCCCTTTTGGAAAGACAAGGTCAGGCTGAATTAGGTTTATACCAAATGGCTTCCTCATATTCTGCAATATATCCTATTGCTTGCCATTTTTATTTGTCAGTTTTTTTCCACAAACGGATAGTCTTGTGTCCTAATGCCACTTCTTTTTACTCTCCTGATTTAAAATGCCACCTTTATTCTGTATCAAAATCCCATAGATGGGGCATTGTCACAGGTTAGTTACCCCAAGGAACTCAAGGGTGGGTTTGGATATTTTAACTTTTTCCAAATTGTTCTTTTTCAATTTGTTATGTTAAGGAAATGCCATCACCAGCCTCCCTGAACCAGACCAGGCCTCATCACAAGAGCCACGCCTATGACCTTTGCCGTATTTTTAGTGCTCAGATCTCTCCAGGAGGAGCTGAGGCCTTATCCTTTATAACCTGCAGTGTAGTGGAAGCATGTTTTCCAAGTGAGCCCACGCGATTGCCATCAAATACCCTCCTCTCCCTTTTGAATATTCATTCCCCATCCGAATAAAGGTCCCTGCTTCCCTTTGTTCCGAGGCGCCTTTGTTGCCACCCAAGAGGGGTCCTCCGCTTGCCGCAAGACATGCCAATAGTCAGGAGGCAAGGTGGTAGGAAAGAAAGGACTTTACTACAGCTTTCTAGCAAGAGGGAGGACGGCTGACTCAGGTCTGAAAGAACCATCTCACAGAACAAAGACTACGGGCCAGTTATAGAGGAGGCTGGTCTCCAGGTGGGGCAGGCAGCTGGTCCCAGTTCCTGATATGGATATGCATCAGGGAATGGAGCAACGCCCTGTACCCTGATCTTTCCGTTGTCATCGATGATGGCATTCAGCATAGGCTCTCTGCCTGGGGGTCATCACGTTCCTAAGGAACTCAAAAGCACGAAGTTATCATCTTAAAGTAGCTTCGAGGGGCCACAAAACCTACAGAGTAAGTCTGGGCTAGTCAGAGGTCATTCAAAGTTACAATATGGTTTCTTTTTTTTTCATGTCTTCCCTTAGGGCAGCTTGTGCTGAGCCGGTATCACCATGACTCTGGAAGTGATCCCTCAGGGTCTCCTATTTGTTGCAAATATACTTTATTTTGTGAGACAACTGCTTCTGGCGGAGAGTCTGATTTAACTCACGGGGGGGAACCAACTTCGGTTTCGGTAACAGTACGGCACTCTCCATGGCACTGTTCCCAAACTTTTGGCATCTGGGGGTACTTTAATGACCATATAGCACATACTCAGACCACCAATTTTAGATATTTAAAAAACTCGTATGTTCTAATTTTAAGAATTGTGAAGTGTTTAGTCAGTGAGCAGGCTAGTGTTGCTTATCACCTTTCACGATGATCTAGCATAGTGACTAACTGCCGGTGCACTGGAGGCAGACACACACTGTGGTCTCAGGCATGTCACAGAACCTTTTGTGCCCTAGTTTCCTCACCTGTGAAATGTGCATAATAACACCTATTTCATAGAGTTTTTATGATGATTGAATGAGTCTGTATTTATAAAGTGCTTAGAACAGTATCTGGCCCAGAGTTCAGTGCTGCAGACGTGCTTGTTGGTAAAAGGCATCTGTACAGGGCTAGATAAAGGACGGCTCAGGCTCCAACCATTCCTCCCCACTCCTCATTCTGCATGTCTGTTTAATGAGAAAATTGTATTTAGCCATCATAGGAGGTTAGCTGTGCTATCAAGGGTTTGGTTCTTCGGCTATCTTGATCACCCTGGATATTCAAACCGAAGAAAAACCCAGATTCCTTTGTTTCATCAAATGCTAAATTGACAAGAATGCCACGCTCAAAACCTGGTAGGTTTATTCTGATTTAGAGAAAGCTGCAAATGTGTTTATAACTTTCTCTTTGGTTGTATTTGTCTCAGGAAACTGTTTCTTTATGTTCCCTTCTGCAGTATTTGAATTGGTCTTTTATACTACCAGTAACATGATTGATTTTTTTTCCACTGAATAAAGCAAATCATCGTGTTGACAAAGAGTGAAGTTCCCTGGGGTCGAGCTGTTTATATCACAGTTTGCCCATATAAGACTTCCTGATATCTCACTGTTCACATTTAAAATTGTGACATTTCAGTCTTGAAGATACACAGTGAGACAATTTAAGATTTTGAAGATGTTGCTGAGATAAACCATTTAAGCAGGCTGCTGAACTCCTGACAATGGTCATTGGTTTTATAAGAGATTTTATCAACTGCATATAAAATTCCTCTGAACATCTTGCCCAGTGACAGCCATCATGTGAAAGTCTGGAAATCAGAGTGCTGTGACCCTTGCCCAGTCTTTGCCTAGTATGCTGAAAGTCTGTGCTGTGGTGGCCATGATTCCATGTCATGCCCAGTTTCTTTCAACATTGAATTTCCTCTATTTCTTTCAATATTGAATTAAGATCAGGAAAATATTGTTGATTGCCAACTCTTGACTGTGAATAAAATAGAATGTCTATGGGCATTCAGATAGAATCTTCCATTTCGTATAATGTGGGGGACCAGTATTGACCATCCCAAGATATGTCTCTTTGGCATGAGGATTATTTTGGGCTGGTTACTTTTAAAAACTGCAGATGGGAAAGAAACTCTGAAAAGTAGAATTTACTTACCCTTTGTTAAGAGACATTTACATTGTAAAGGAAATCTCCATCTGTAAAGGCGTCTCCCTCTCTGTACAAGAAGGGGGATGACCTTACCTCTAGAAACTCTCATCAATGTGGAAGGCAAGGACTTAAATCTGCATAATAACCTTACTCTTGTTTACTGTGCTTTTGTGGAAACCTCCCATAACTGACTCCTCCCACCCCCAACATCCTCCTTTGTCTTTAGCTGAGGGTGGTATTTAAGGTGGTGGCTTCTGCCATTTGGCGAGTTGCTCAGTTTGCCTGAGCCTCTCCCATGTATACATGTTACAAAGCTTCGTTTAATTTTCTCCTGGTATTCTGTCTCATGTGAATTTAATTCAATATCTGGCCAGAAGGATTTGGAGCAGGTAGAGGAAATGTCTTCCTCCCCTACAATAACAACACTCTTCTGTATCACACATTTAGCTCATGCTCTGCTGGTGCTCAGGGCCGCTAACCTGCTGTCTGCACAGTGGCTCACAACATTATCCTTACATGGATAATCTCTCTGCTCTTCTGATGGAGTTCTCGGTGATAAGCAGAGGAAAATGTCCGGAATTTCTCACTTGGATCTCCTACGTGTCCAAGAGCTGTTCACACTGCACATGTGTGACTTTGTCCATCTGCAGAGCAAGATCTGCTGGCACACACATGATAATCTTACCTGTTATGTTTCATGAAGGAATTTTGTGAGTAGCCTGTCTGCTTTTCTCTAGGCTTGGTGTTTTGTTTTCGTTTTTGATGTTTTCCCTAATGTTCTGACTCTTTTTACTTTTCAATAATAGTATATACTTTGTACCTGCTTTTGCTATGAGGTATGGAACTTTGAATAATTCCTCTTCATCATTAGTGATACAATTCATCGATTTCATACTGGAAAACATTCTTTTGTAACTGTTCTGGGAAAAGAAAATGGCGAAACAGAACTCCCTGCGGTCCCCAAGAGCACACAGGCTTCTTTGGACGAGTCTCAGAGCCAGGTTCTGTCTTGCTTCTTCGAGGCCGTCTCTGGCCCCGGATGTGGAGCAAGCAGTTGGCAGGCTTTTGGGAGACTGGGGTTCTTAGCTATGCTACTGTTACGGGCCCCTTGGGTCTTGTTGTCCCCGAGGAGGAAATCAAGAGAGACAACCGGCAGTGGGAAGGACAAGCTTATTGGCTCGTCACAGGCGAGGCACCAGGTAGCCGGTGCGGCAAGGAGGGGCAGGCGGCCAGCTCTCCGGAGCGGCCCGCGCGACTTCTGTGGGGCGAAGCCTGGGACGTCCGGCAGGCCGAGGGCGGGCTGTGCTTTGGTCTGCGCTGTCGTGCGGCAGCCACTACATGCGATGCGTGGGTCATCAGCACGCTGGCTCTCCGCCCGGGTGTGATTTTACTGTGCTAATGGGGCTAGGGTCACCTTCCATGGACCCCTGGGTGCGAGGGCGCATGCGTAAACCCAGGAAAGTGGCGAGGCTGCAGCGTGTGAGTGTTGGTGGTCTCTAGCTGATTTCCCAGCTTGGCGATTGGTTAGGGGCCTTATGATGTTAGGCCAGGGGCCTTGCAGATAGCCCTGTCTTGTTAGGCTGGTTCCTGTCTCACTGCTAAACTAGTTGTGTGACCTTGAGAGAGTCTCTTAACCTCTCTGGGCTTGCGTTTATCTGTAAAAGTATTTTTTCAGGTCTGCAAACCTTATGATTTTTTATGACTGAATTTAATGGGCTCATTGTTTGCTTTGTGTGATTCTAGTTCTCATTTTTCATCATAAAATATAATTTTATAAGCATACTTATTAATTGTGTTTATAAAATATAAAATTTTTAGAAAGGAAAAAACCCTAAATCTTCTATGAATAAACTATTAAACAGAAAAGAGGTTGATGAAAGGCAGTGATATTTCTCACTAAGTATTGCCTGTCATGTTGTTAAAATGAGTGTTTTGTTTTTTATTTGAAACTCTCTAAAGAATGCTGTGGCTGTTTGAGCCATATAGTGTTCCTTGCAACATTATGCGAAGTTCCCAAATGTTCAAGTGAGGAATCATTTTGAAATACTGACAAGAGTAACATTGATCATCCTAACTCCTGCTATGAATTATTGCCACTGTCTTGAATTTATCCTTCATGTATGAGGAGAAGGTATATAGGCTGCTCCACATAATACTGTTTCCTCCCCATACTCAATTTTGCATCTTTCAGTTTTGTTAAAACATGAAAAATGTCCTCTCAATTTCTTTCTTTTTTTTTTGAGGAAGATTAGCCCTGAGCTAACCTCCAGCGCCAGTCTTCCTCTTTTTGCTGAGGAAGACTGGCCCTGAGCTAACATCCATGCCCATCTTCCTCTACTTTATATGTGGGACGCCTACCACAGCATGGCTTGCCAAGCGGTGCCATGTCCGCACCCGGGATCTGAACCGGTGAACCCCAGGCCGCCGAAGCAGAACGTGCACACTTAACTGCTGCACCACAGGGCTGGCCCCTCCTCTCAATTTCGATAGCTTCTTAAGTTTCCTCCCAGCTTTATTAATATACTCCCGCCTTGGTCTGTCTTTCCCCTCTTTCTTGTCAGTTTTGTGTGCACATCTGTCTGTGTGTGTGGTGCCTTTGCGGTGGTCTGGGGCGTCCCGGAGCAGTGAGGAGGAGGCATTGGTTTGGTGGTGTGCTGGAAGATGAAGTGGATGTGAGAAGGAGGCTGGGAGAGTGAAACACAAACATGGCATTTGTTTTTATAGAAATAAAATATTCCTGAGAAATCATTGGTTCTTGCTGTTTCATTTTTGGGTTTTGTCGTCTTTAAAGCTTTTCCTTGGAAGCCTCTAAACTGATCTGTGAATGTAAGAATGTTTTTAACAAGATTTTACAAGCCAATTCAGCAAGATCTTTAAACAGTTCCATGTTCATGTAAGGAAAGCATGCACCCACTTATCCATGGAGGTTGGAGAAGCTGTGGTACCTGCACGCAGTGGAGCACAGGGCAGCGGTCACAGAGTGTGGACAGTCACCGTGACCTGACAGGCAGTGGTTTCCAGGAGACATTAGGAACTGAAGAAAGCCAAGTGCGAAACAGCGTGTACAGTAGGTTGCCTTTTGTGTAAGAAAGAAGGGAAAACCAAGAAAAAACATGCACATAATGACTTATTTTTACAGGAAGACAGCTGGGAAGGATAAAGCAGAAAACAGTGAAGTTTATCCCCTACCAAAAGTGGGGAGGAGGAGGAGGGGATGAGAGGCAGACACACCTCTCTGAGGGCCTTTAGTACAGCTTTAGCTTTCGAAAGCATGTTAATATTCTACATATTAAAAAATAAAAATAAATAATTAAGAATCAAAACAAACTCAACTGTATTTCAGATGACTACAATAACTACACTGGAGAGAACAAATGAATCCAAGTAGTTTATGAACACAGTTTTTTCGGATTTTTATTTATTTATTTTTTTGGTGAGGAAGATTGGCCCTGAGCTAACATCTGTGCCAATCTTCCTCCACTTTGTATGTCAGACACTGCCACAGCATGGCTTGATGAGCAGTGTGTAGATCCCAGGATACAAACCTGTGAACCCTGGGCCACCAAAGCAGAGTATGCTGAGCTTAACCACTATGCCGCTGGGCCAGCCTCTGTGAACAGGTTTTAGGTATACACCCATGCATGGAGGGCAGAGGTGGGAGGGGAAACTGCAAACAAATTCTGAACTCTTTTGTAGGTTTGTTAATTACAGTGGTGTGGGTGAACCAGTTCTGAGAGTATAGTAGATACCCTGTAGGGTTTAGGACATAAGTAAATGTGTCGACCTTGTTAGAGGAGAGAGAACAAATATGGATGGAAACAGGCAGAACGAGCCCGTGGGGATGGATATCCTGAGAAGGATGCAAACATCACCCATGTGTATTCTGGCAAAAAAATGTGTAACCTGAATCTAGTCAAATCCAAAATCAGGAACTTCTGTTTAAACAAATGGAAGAAGGGAAAGACTATGTTCTTAAAAAATGTCAATTTTATGAAAGACAGAGAAATGCTATGGAAAATGTTCCAGATTAAGGGAGACTAAAGAGACATGTGGACTGAATTTAATATCTGACCCTAGACTGGATCCTGTTCTGGAAGGAGACAGTGTTATACAGCACATTGTCGGATAAGTTGGAAAAGTTGGAATATGAATAGAAGATGAGTGAACAGCGTTGTATAAATATTAAATTCACACAAGTTGATAACTGAGCTTTAGTTCTGTAAGGGAATCTTCCTATTCTTAGGGAAAATACACTGCACTTAGGGAGAAATATTTAGGATTTGGGGATGAAGGGACCTCAAATGGTTCAGAGAAAATGATCTGCGCATGTATTTGTATATGTGTGTCTCTGTCTGTCTGTGTTCACACTCAGACTGAGGCAGAGGGCTTACAAATAAATCTAGGCAAACGCTATGCATGTCTCCGTACTATTTTCTTCTTGCAACTTTTCCTTAAGTTTGATATTATTTCTAAATGAAAAGTTTTTTCAAAAGAATAAATTTCACCCTAAAAATAGGCATTCATATGGTAAGCAGTAATAAACAGTAATACAATTAGTGATTAAAAAGCTGCTCTAGATCTAATAAACTAGATTGTAATCGTCATTTTCCATTAGTACACTTACAAGTTTATTTGCAATTAAGAATAAATTGCCTAGTCATGCTGAATCTGCTTGGAACTGTCTGCTCGAAACTAATAATAATTCAGCAAGGCTGTGGGAAACAAGACCACTATTAAAGAAAATAATGGGAAGAAATTAGAAAGTCTGTTGCAAAAAAAAAATCCATTTACAATTCCAATAAACATTAAAAGGTACACAGAAATAAATACAACAAAGAATTTTTGAAGTCTGAAAATGTAACAAGCATTTTGGACCAACAAAAATGATTAGATTGAATGGAGAGGGAACGAGTTTCTGAATTAGAAACGACATAGAAACTCATCATAGTAAAGACTGTTCTCCACACGGAAAGACTCATTAAGACAAATCAGACAACGTGATATGGGCAAATACGCCAACAAACAGAATTAAAAGGCCAGAAATAGACCCACAAATATGTAGAAACTTGATATGACACGGGTAACTTTGCGGATTAATGGAAATAGAGACTATTCAAACATTTTTTTTGAATAACTTTTTCTCCATATGAAAAAGTAGACCTCACACCATAGAAAACATGAATTACAGTTGCATTGTAGGTTTAAATATGAAGAACCAAAATTTTAAAAGAACACTGGAAGAATTTCTGTGTAACTTTAGGATTGTGAGGGATTTCATGGCTAGATGTGCCAACTGTACAGGAAATAATTGATATATTTTACTACATTAAAATAAAAACATTTCTCTACAGCGAAGTCATCGTAAACAAAGTGAAGAGCCAAGTCGCAGACGGGGAACAGGTCATCATTGTGATCAACCAAGGACTGCTTCCAGGAGAGAAAGAGCTCCTTCATAGCATTAAGGAAAAATGGGCAAAAAAAATAAGTAAGGAGTTCACAGGACATACAGTTTCTCAGATGAACTATTTCAAAGGACATTAAAGTGATCAAACCATCTTTGAGGGCCAAATATATAAGAAAAGCCTTCTATCTTTAGCTTCAGTCCCGAGTTTCCAAACTGGTGCAGTCAGTTCTTGATGGTATGCCTCGCCACACCGTGTGTTTTAATATCAAATTGTGAAGATATTTCGGTGGCTAATGTTATATTATGAACTTTCACAGGACCAATCCTTTCCAAAGCATGAAAATGGTATTCAGGTTGGAATGAAATTAGAAGGCATTGACGCCTGACATCCATCTGTATTTTGTGTGCTTTCTGTAGCTGAGGTAAGAGATGGTGTTACTGACTTTGGCTAACTAGACAGTGACAGAAGAGAATTTTCTAGAGAAGAATGATTTTGAGTACTTTCTGTTATAAACAAGTTCCAGTATGTCATGGATTTATTTTAATCAGTGATGGGTAAAATATGTTTCTTAATGAACTTTTTCTTCTCTGAAGATTAATTTTCCAATAAGTCCTTTATCACTAGAAGTTACTCTTGATTTAATCGATAAATAAGTTTTCACCTGAGGTTGATAACAATCAGTGAATCCTACAATGTTGTTTTTGTCTGTTAAAAGAGACATAATTATTTTTTAGCTGAACTAATGAGAAATGTATATGAAAAATATCCATGCATATGAATTATATTTTATGTAAATACATGCATTTTGTGAAAATTATATAGAATGAAGAGCCACTGATGAAAGTAAATGGTTTGTAGGATGTAATATTTACTAGACATTTTATATTATTAAGTTGGTAAAAGCCCTCTATGTTTTTAATAACATCAATCCTAGAAAATACTGTTCCCCTGATTTACTGACTAATTACGGCTGTTAAACTTGCACAGCCTGTCTAGAGGACGTATTTCGCAGACCGTTTTGCTATTTCCTTTGCTGAGTGTGTGTGCTCAGAGATGAACTGAGGTCATACCCATTTTGGTTTTGCTCTGTGCTTGAGCTTACGCTGTCTGGGGATGTGACTCCAAGCCAGACAGCAGGAGATGGGGTTTCTGAAAGGAATATGGGATATTTGATAGGTATTGAATGAATAAATAAATCCGTTGATTAATGGATATGTAAATTGACTTCAGAGTTCTAGACTGAGTAAAAGGATAATTTTTTTGCAGAAAAAAATTTCTAGATACTTGAAAGGTAATGTCTGCTTTCTCAGCACTTGTCTTATTCAGATGCCATCTGTAAACTTGTTCTCTAATACAAACACATTTCGATGGAAGGATTGGTTCACATATGTTGATGGCACTGACAGAAAATATGAATATTTTGTTAATTTTGTGTACACTTCAAATGCATGACACTTAATGAATGATTGCAAACATTCCATTCTGCAGGTGTGTGGCTACTGTCTAAGACTTCATTTTGATGGTTATTTAAGCTGCTACGATTTTTGGACCAATGCTGGTTCCCCTGACATTCGTCCAATAGGATGGTGTGAAAAGACCAAATGCGAATTGCACGTCCCCCAAGGGTAGGTCAGGATGGAAAGAGAGTTAGTTTTATTTTAACACATTTCATGAAATACCAACAGGAGAGCCTGGTGTGAATTGATTTTCAAAATGAAAATTTGATCCACAAAAAGCAGTAAGACTACAGGATACCTTTCTTAGAAATAAATACACATCTTTAAAAGGAAAGCATCAATGACTGTTTAGGTCAAATATTCTGATAAGGTACCTAGGGCAGAAACAAAATCGGATGAGAGCATTTTATTTTACATAAGTTTATTAAACCTTATAAGGAATTAAGAAGCTAATGTTTAAGTCATTGTTGAAATGAAATATTTCACTTAATCAATGATATTTCACTTATTCCATGAGAAAACTTGATTCACTGTATATCATTTGTTTTGAAAAAATCATGGAGAACAGGGAACTATGGAAGAGAACAAGTTCACTATGGATTTTCTTTTGATGAGAAATAAAAATCTCATCTTTGTCTTTTGCTGTGTGCTGGAGGAACCTGGGACTGGCAAGTGTGCCTGAATGTGCCTGTTTTCTCTGCTGTGCGCAGTGAGGTGAGCCTCTGACCAGCTGAGAAGCCGATGGGCTGTTTCCTTGCACAGCCAACTTCTGTATAAGGTCTCCTGCTGGCATGTGAGACTATTTGAGGACTCTTGCAACTTCTACAGTCAGTATATCGTCATTTCATTCTTAGTAACCGATTCAAGGCATCTTTTGGGATCTGTCCCTGAGATTAATGACAGAGTCCTCTAAGATTGAAGGATTTCAGGGAAGCTGGTGACGGCTCTTTCATTCAGTAAGTATTTATGGAGCCCAAACTATGTGCAGGCACTAGGGATGGAGCAGTGGACAAAATGAACCGCCTCTGTCTTCACGGGGTTTTCATTCGAGAGGAGAGAGGAAGAGTAAAGATAAAGAGACATGTGAGGCAGTGATGGGGTGGAGGAGGAGAGCAGTCACAGGGGTGCTGTTTCACTTAGCGTGGTGAAGAGGGCCTGAGAACATCACGTCTGACAGGTGTGTGGGCGAGGCGTGGCTACCTGGGTAGGAGCGCACGGCAGAGGGAAGCAAGAGTAAATGCCCGGGCAGAGTGTGCAGGGTGCAGGAGAGGACTCCCAGGAGAAGAAGGTGGCTGGAGCTGAGAAACAGGGCCAGGAGGTCGGAGAGGAGGTGACAGATGTAGCCATGGCCTTGAAGGCTGTGAAGGAGTTTGATTTTTATTCTAAGTTTAATACTCGATCAGAAAATATTTATTGAGCCCATCTTATTTGAGCCAGCACTGTGTGAGCCTCTTTAGGGTACATGGATGGGAGGATAAGGCATCTGTTAATGGGCAACCTGTAAAGATATGGAGCAGAAAGCTGGAGCTGCCAGTGGTCTTTGGATCGTGAAGGGGTTTCTGTAATTTACCCCAGTGTCTGGCACCCTGGAGGGTTGCACCATCAGGTCCTCTGACTGTCTTGGTGATACGGCTTCTTCAGGAGTGATGATGGACTCAGGAACTTTTGTCTCCTCTCTTTGCCCATTTTGGAAAGCCTTAATGGGAGACGAGACTCCCATCCAGCCACCAGGGTACCAATTCCATATCTCGATGAATTTTAAAACTTTGTAGGGAGTGAGTGACATGCGTGATGGGAAATCACACTCAACAGTTTTGAATTTCATACATTAAAAAACATTGAAATAATTTAGAGGTTTTAATTTAAATCTTTTGTGGTCTGCTAAGGGACATCGAATTTATGGCAGACGACTGAGTAAGAATAATGTAGTTAATATGCACATGGTTAATCTTGTGGGTATTTTGAGGGATCTGTACCTTTTTTAGGTTATAGAAAAGATCACGTTTTTTGGATAGATTACTTGAAGGCCTAGCAGATTGCAAAATGCTCCCAAGAAATCATTCAGGCAACAAGTTCTGTGAGTATTTTCTTCCTCAGTATAAATCAGATTTTTCCTTGAGCTTAAATTTCTTAAAATTCCCTATATAGTCTGTTGAATTTTAGTCTTTTAAGAATTCCTAGCTTCCTATCACTCTTTTCACTTAATTCGTCAGTTTCCTATGGGCATTTCTTTTTTTCCCCTTTAAAAGTACAATTAAATATTTCAATTAGATGGAGAGAATTGAAAACTTTATATTTAAAGCCTGCTAAAATTTAAAATGCCTTTTAGAAATGTTTTTTCTTTTTGCCTCCTATGAGTTCGTCATTTAAACTTAGTTTTGGCATTTGAAGACCAGTAGACCCCCAAGGTAGACTTCAACTGTACCCTGCCTCGTTGTATTTCAGTGCAGCGAGGATGAGGGTGACCTTCCACGCAGGTTCAAGGAGAGTGTGAGGATTGGGCAGAGCACACTCCTTGTGCCGTCTGCATCCCCAGCGACCTAAAAGTCTAGGAGAGAATGGAAATAAGTGCATCCCACCTCCTCTGCGCCCGTCTCTGGCCCAACAGTGAGGCCGCACACCAGGGACGGGAAGGGAAGCCTGGGGTCCGGGGCAGGCCTGCCACCTGCGGGCTGTGTCCCTGCTCAACTTCCCAAGACCGCAGTGTTCTGATTTTGAAATAAATGTTGTACAACTGCTGTGTGTTTCCATAGAATTGTGTCAAAGAAAGACAGTTATAGAAATATGAGATTTCTTTTAAAAATGTAATGTGCTAAAGCGAAACAAAAATCAGGGTTCAGTATACATAGTAAGAAGTAGAGAAAAACCCTAGTCCCCAGATATTGTATATATACTTTCTAAATCGCAGGGCTGGCTAATTATAGCTATACAAAAAGTGGGGTTTTGCTATTATTATTTTACTATAAATCAGAATCTGTAGTATTTTTTAATACTAAAAAATATGCAGATACTAAAAGAAGCATTTGGATTTTTTTCCAGCTGTAATTTTATTCATGGATTAGTACACGTTGAAATAGTAATATTTCAGTTATTTGAATTCAATTTCAAATATTTCAATTCAATTATTTCAATATTAATATTCCTTAAATATTGAAAAAGCCACTAATTCCAGTTTAGATCAAAGTAGATGATAATTTTGGTGCTGAAGAGCATAGGTTCCGGAGGGTGAGTGCTGATACTAAACATACAGATTCTGACAGTGGCTCAGTCCTGTTGGTGTCCTGTTGCTTTTGTGCCTTCTCCCTCTGGTGCTGTGCTGGAATGGACCAGGGCCTAAGGAACTTGGGGCTGGAGTGAAGCTGGAAGCTGTCGACAGGAAGAACCCTTCCTTGGTGTGTGGCAACCCCAGCAAACGTTGTTGAAGATCGCCGCTAGTGCATTTGGACGATTGGGGTGATAGTTACGATTACTGGTGAGACACCAATGTACGTTTTATTTTCACGTGTTCATGTCTGGTGTTATTCCACTGCTGTCACTGTTCTTAAGGTAATGAGCATCGGGAATTGAGTGGCTGACTGATCGCTCCCTTCTCATCACAGGAATTGTTGAATTAAAGAGCTTGAAAAACTTCTCCCTTCTGTGAGAGGTTACCTAATGGGGCCTCCTCTGAAACCGTGTGCCCAGGTCAGGGCACTGCACTGTGTTGTTTTTAGTCTCTAAGGAAAGCATTTCCGGGAAGGGGAAGTTAAGAACTTGCAGTACTTTTTTTCCTGAAAAATATTGACCCTGGCCTGTCCTGTTTTTGAAAGGGAAGATTCAGGGAGAAGGGAGTGAATTGTTCAACAGCCTGTGGGGGCAGAGGAAATGTGTGTTATGATGCCATTAAACTAGCATCACACAAGTGTGTTTTTGTTTTGTTTGTTTGTTTTGTTTTTTATATACAGATACCGAATTATAACGTTGTACACCTGAGACCTGTACAATATTATAAACCAATGTTACCCCAATAAAAAATTTTAAAAATTAATTATTTAAAAAACTAACAGTTCATGAGTTCAAAGGGTTTTCTGGGTGAAAACCTGAAATATGGAAGAGGGCATGGCAAAAATAATTCCTGTAGCATTTCTTCACCGTATGTACTGGATAACCAACAGGTCGTTGAGACAACCTGAGGGTTGTGGTTCTGCGTAGACGTGCAGGGGCCCTGTTTTCTTCTTTGAACTAAGAAGCAGAGCATGGATTAATTGTTGTATGCATCTGAGGTAGGATAGTCTGGGTTCTTTGAAAAGAAGAGGGAGGAAATATGGAGTCATACGGAGTCTGATGAGGCTGTCCTGTTGAAGTTTGGACTGGCCTGTTAATATTTTCCCTTGCTGCTGGCGAGAAGCGGTAGATGATGTTTATTAAAACGTTCAGTCTTTGAGGACATCACTGGCAAACGGTCATAGTCAAACACGTTTTTTGTACTTTTAAAGTTCAAAAAGGTTATATAAAAAAGAAGTTTGCTTGCTCTGCTTACAAAATACAGTATTAAAAATTACTTCAAATTCTTCTTAGCTGTAGAATTATATTTTAGCTATGAAGTAATATTTTCCATAGTGTCTCTTAATATCCGGAATGGTCATTACTCTTGGATTCTTTCTCTGGCATGGAGGAATATGGGATCTAAAACAGAATCCTGTTTTTGCAGGTGTGATGGACATAAATCCTTATGTCCAGCTGGTTGGTTGGTGTCAGGAGAACGGAAGAACTCCGGTAGCACCCGGCGGTGAGTGGACTGGCTCAGTGTTCTTTGAAGTCATTCCTGTGTGACTGGCATTGCCCATTCTTATTTTTGTTTGTGCAATCCACATTTCAATAGAAGATGTATGATAAAAATACTATGCAATATTCTCTTGACCACCAAGTGACCCAAATGTCTGAAATCTGCACGTTCTTCCCCATAATGAAAATGGACTGTGTTGGTAAAGATGTACTGGGCAGCCATTAAAAAAAAGTTGCTGGAAGTTTTTTTATCCAATGAAATGAGTACCAATGCTGTAGGTTGACATTTAAAACTAGCTATTTCCAGTTGCTAATTTATCTTATAACTTACATTAATTAATTAACTGAACCATAAGATTATTAAATGTAGAAATTGAAGTTAAGTGTAGTCCTGTAGAAATCTAAGAGGTGAGAACTAATTCCACAGTGCATCTCTGGACTTGCCAGGCTCCTTCACCAAACCAGCTTAACGGCTCAACTGGACACACATGGAGGGCTTCTTCCTGTTTTTCTTCATTATTAGAAATATTAAATTTTTAGAGACTTGCTCTATCAAGTCTCTGTTTTTTAATTTAAGAATGAATTAAATATAGTGACTTCGTGATCTTGGCATTTTTAAAACAAGTTGCTAGAAGAAATATATTTTTCTTCATTAAAAAGTGTAAAGGCAGAAATACAGATTAAGGAATATGTCATTCGAGATTGGAGCAGATGTTTAACCTTTTAATTTGAATGATTCTGGAATTTTGCTGCTTTTTAATTTTTTACACTTAAATACAGAGAAATATTAGAATTTCTCATCAAATTATTGAATTCAGTGAAAAAAAATTCAAGAATTAGGGGCCAGCTCCGTGGCCAAGTGGTTAAGTTCGCGTGCTCCGCTGCGGTGGCCCAGGGTTCTGATCGTGGGCACAGACATGGCACTGCTCGTCAGGCCACGTTGAGGTGACGTCCCACATCCCACAACTAGAAGGATATACAGCTAAGATATACAACTATGTACCTGGGTGGTTTGGGAAATCAAGCAGAAAAAAAAAAAAAGGTTGGCAACAGTTGTTAGCCCAGGTGCCAATCCTTAAAAAAAAAAAAGGAAGATTGGCAACAGTTGTTAGCATAGGTGCCAATCTTTAAAAAAAAGAAAAAAAAAATCAAGAATTAAAAACAATCAGCAAGAGGGGCGGGCCCTGTGGCTGAGTGGTTAAGTTTATGCGCTCCTCTTCAATGCCCCAGGGTTTCGCTGGTTCGAATCCTGGGCGCAGACATGGCACCGCTCATCAGGCCACGCTGAGGCGGTGTCCCACATGCCACAACTAGGGGGACCTACAACTAGAATATACAACTATGTACTGGGGGCCTTTGGGGAGAAGAAGAAGAAAAAAAAAGATTGGCAACAGATGTTAGCTCAGGACCAATCTTGGAAAAAAAACCAAAAAACAATTAAGAAGCCAAACAAAACAAAACAAATAAGAAAACCATAACCTATTCAAAAATATCCAATTAGTCTAGAAAGGTTTTACAAAATAAATCACATCTTCTGTAATTCTGATTTTGCCATGTAGACAGATCTCGAGTTGTTTGTCCTATTTTTCTGTAAAGCTGACTTTAGAACAAAGTTCTTTAAGGCAAGGTGAGATGTCTGTGGGTCTCCAGACACGCAGTTTGGGCCGGCGGCCTGGAGCTGCAGCTCCCACGTGTTCCGGGCCCTCTGGGAAGCCGCTTCTTGGCAGCTGCAGGTGCCCTGCCAGACTGCCTGGAGGGCTCGGCGTTTCACCCGTCTCCTGCTGCCGTGCGCGTCCAGAAATAGTCTGTGCAGCATGTTAAGAAGTAGACGTCTCGATTCCTGACATCACTCACAGGAGCTGAGGCCTGAGGGGAGCAAACCTCCCACACCCCAGCTGAGGCTGAGGCTTAAGGGCCTCTCAACAGGAATCGGAAGCTATTTAGTTCATAAAGTCAGCAAAGTAACAGCAGAACTCAGTCTAGACTTCTAGTTTTCACCGTAGAATTGATTGGTTATATAAATGTCACCAAGCTGAAATCTGAGTGATGGTTTTACCATAGACTAATTTAGCGACAGAAATTCTTTACTTTAGGGTCAAGTTATCTTCTCTAACAGGTTTAAAATCCTGAGATTTCGTCCCGATGTACAATGTTTACATTAGAATCTTCAGTTAATCCGCCTCTAAACCTCACACACTTGTTAGCAGTCCTTTTGCAAACTAGCGAGTGTTTTATACACTAAAATACTGGCTCCCCAGCCTCAATTCCTATAAGTACTTGGTTTCTCTGCAGTAGATTCCTCATCTGCTCTTTTTTTCTGTTGAGATATAATTCACATACTGTAAATTTCACCCTTTTAGTTTACAATTCAGTGGGTTTTTTCAGTATATTCAAAAGGTACAACCATCCCCACTGTCTACTGCAGAGGTTTCCATCTCCCCAAATACAGTATCGCCGGTCCCCATCGGCAGTCACTCCTCATTTTCTCCTCCCCCTCAGGCCAAGGCAATCGATAATCTACTTCTGTCTCTGTGGATTCAACTGTTCTGGACCCTTCGTGTAAATGGAATCATACAATATGTCGCCTTTTGTGTCTGCTTCTTTCACTTAGTGTAATGTTTTCGGGGTTCATGTTGAGGCATGTATCAGTACTTCATTCCTTTTGATTTACAAATATTATTCCAGTGTATGGATATACTGCGTTTTGTTTATGCATTCATTAGTTGATGGATGCTTGGTTTGTTTTCACCTTTTGACTATTACAAATAATGCTGCTATGAACGTTCATGTTTAAGTTTTTGAGTGAATGTATGTTTTTATTTCTCTTGGGTATAATGCTAGAATTGCTGGGTCATAAGGTAACTCTGTGTTTGAGGAATTGGCAAACTATTTCCCAAAGAGGCTGCATATTTTACATTCCCACTAGCTATGGATGAGAATTCCAATTTCTCTACATCCTTACCGACATGTTATTGTCTATCTTTTTTATTACAGACATCCTACTGGGTGTGAAACGCTATCCCATTGTGGTTTTGATTTGCATTTCTATAATGACGAATGATCTTGAGCATCTTTTCATGTGGTTATTGGCTTTTGTGTATCTTCTTTCAACAAATAATTCAAATATTTTGCTTATTTTTTAATTGGGTTCTCTGTCTTATTATTACTGAGTTGTAAGAGTTCTTTGTTTGGATATTGGACCCTGTTGTCTTTTCATTTTCTTGATAGTTTCTTTTAAAGGGCAAAAGTTTTTAATTTTGATGAAGTCCAATTTATCTATTTTTTCTTTTGTTGTTGTGCTTTTGGTGTCTAAGAAAATACTGCTTAATCTTAGGTCACGAAGACCTGTCACAAAAGACTATTCTTTCTCCATTGATTGGTCTTGGCAAATTTATCAAAAATCAGTTGACCATAGATGTATGAGCTTATTTTTGGATTCTCAGTTCTGCTCCATAGTCTGTTATGTCTGTCCTTATGACAGTACCACACTATCTTGATTATTGTAGTTTTGTAGTAAATATTGGAAATGAAGAGTGTGAGTCCTCCAACTCTGTTCTTCCTCTTTGAGATTTTGACTTTTCTGAGTCCCTTGCATTTCCATGTGAATTTTAGAATTAGCTTCTCAGAAAGAGCCAAGTGGGACTTTGATATAGATTGCACTGAATCTGTAGATCAATGTGGGGAGCACTACCATCTTGAAAATACTGAGTTTTCTAGGCCATGAACACAGGACATCTTTCCATTTATTTAGGTCTTTAACTTTCTTTCAGTGACATCTTGTAGTTTTCAGTCTCCAACCTTGCACTTCCTTTATTGAATCTGTTCCTGAGCATTCTATTCTTTTTCAATTGAGGTGAAATTCACATAATATACAATTAACCATTTTAAAGTGTACAGTTCAGTGGTGGTGTATTCATAAGGTTATGCAAACCACCAGTTCTCTCTAATTTCAAAACTTTTTCCTCACTCCATAAAAACATCCTGTACTTACTACGCTGTACACCCCCCACTCCCTGCCTGCCCCCATCCTCTGGTAACCTCTAATCTGCTTTCTATGGATTTGCCTATCCTGGATCTATTATACAAAGGGAATCATACAATACATGACCTTTTGTGGCTGGCTTCTTTTTCTTAGCATAATGCTTTCAAGGTCCATGCGAATTTACCGTGTGTCAGCAGTTCCTTCCTTTTTGCTGCAGAATACTGTTCATTGCACATAGACGCCACAGTTTGTTTATCCTTTCATCTGTTGACGGGCATTTGGTCTGTCTGTACTTTCGGTGATTATGACTAACGCTACTATAAGCATCCATGTACAATTTTCTGCATGGACAGATGTCTTCATTTCTCTTGGATGTTTACCTAAGAGGGGAATTGCTGGGTCACATGGCAAGTCGATGTTTAACATTTTGAGGAACTGGCAAACTGTTTTCCAAAGCACCTGTGTCATTTTACATTCCCACTAGCAATGTTGCTATTTTTCAACGTCCTTGCCAACACTTGTTATTTTCTGTTTTCTTAATTAAAACCATCCTACTGGGTGTGAAGCAGTATCTCATTATGGTTTTGATTTGTATTTCTCTAATGATCAGTGATGTTGAACATCTTTTCATGTGGTTATTGGCCATTTGTGTATCTTTTTTCAAGAAATAGCTATTTAGGGGCTGGCCCAGTGGTGTAGTGGTTGAGCGTACACGCTCCGCTTTGGCGGCCTGGGGTTCGCCAGTTCAGATCCCTACACACCACTTATTAGGCCATGCTGTGGCAGTGTCCCACATGCAGAGTGGAGGAGGATTGACACAGATGTTAGCTCAGCAACAATCTTCCTCAAGCAAAAGAGGAAGATGGGCAACAGATGTTAGCTCAGGGCCAATCTTCCTCACCGAAAAAAAACCCCCCAAAACCCAAAGAAATATCTATTCAAATCCTTTGCCCATTTTTTAAATTGGGTTGTCTTTTTGTTATTTATGTATTATTTAAAAATTATTATTTAGGGGCCGGCCT